ATGTCCCCTGATCATCAATTAATGACATATTCCTAAAGACACATACTCGTTGTACGAGACATATGTCCAACGATGAAAGATTTGTATCAAAATACAGAGGCAGATGGTCTATTAATCTGATTCAGTAAGATAAGTTACGCATCACCCTAAGTAAATCAGATAGTTTTTGCGAACCATATTGATACAAAAGCCATATGAAAAAATCGATTAGGAGCGTAAAATGAAGCATTGCGTTACGGAGATTCTGATGCATTATTAATTCAATGGAATCATATGGGCATATTTTGCTATTTTGATATATAAACGCAGCATTTGCGTGTTGCTAAAATCTATGGAATCTAAAAAATTGTGTGAACGTTTATCGTGATGTCAGTCCTTTGTGTCTGACGCTAAGAAGTTTGACATGAGCCATGTCAGACGTATAGTCTGATATAAGCGATTTGGTAGAAAACCACGTCAATATCAAATGTTCGGTGCAAATAAAAATGGACTGCCTTTCTTTTATTTTATTGATTATAATATTAAATTCATTACTATTACTTTCGAACGTGGGAAGCACAAATTACAAACTAGTTGGCATTGGTATTTTGCCTTGAGGCACGTTACATGAACTTTCCGATATGTGTAAATACTCGACTTAATCAATAAAATCAATTTATGAATAATTAAAAATATTCCGAGTAGATTTATCACACATAATTGAAAACGAACGAACACGTTAACTCGGAGAATTTTCAAAAATCAACAAATTTTAATTAAACCAGTTTCCGTGGGACTTTAATGGTTTAGTATGTTCATTAAGACCAAGTACTCTATCGTTATACCAAGTAATCTACTGATTTTCTCAAATTTTGATGAACTTTTAAAATTAAACTGCTTGTTGTAAGTTCGTAATATTTCAGTAAGACCATGATATATATCGACAAAAAAAGTTCCATAAAAATGGGCTTAGTTTTTTTTTCATCCATTAATTATAAGAAAACGGTCGGTAGATTTTCACCTAAAACTAAACAGTATCATTCCCAACTTCGGTAGTATGACAAAAAGTTTAACACTTTTTTCCAAATTACAAAGAAACGGCTCGGCCGATCGTCGCACAAAACTGAGAAACGATAATCCTCATCGAGATACATCAAATGGCTTTTAAATTTCTAAAATCGGTTCAGGCGTTCTTGAACAAACGCCGATGAAAGGTCTAATATTGACAAATGCCAAAAAAACAAAACTAATTTTCGCATCTTTAAAGAATTGTTAAAATTAGACGACTTGTGGTAGGGCCATCATATTTTAGTATGATCTATAAGACTATGGTATCTACTCCGTCAAAGAAAAAATCATTAAAAATCGTCAAAAACATTTTTTTTAACACTTTTTACAAGAGAATGTCTCGGCCGATCTTTACCAAAAACTAATCAGCACGATTCCCAACCAATATCTTACGAACAGTTTTTGAATTTTCAAAATCAGAATTGCGGGCTAAAACGTGGACAAAATATTTTTCACTTTTCTGCCATTTACAAAGAAACGGCGTGGCTGATCGTCGCGCAATTTCGAGAGCACGGATCGACCGATTTGAATGATTCAAAAAACATTTCATTCCTACTGATGGAGAGCAGAGTTGTGATTAGTTTTTAGACAAAGCAGGTCCAGCCTTATCAAAGATAAGGAGCAAAAAGTGCGATAATGGCAATTCAATTTTTGAGAGAACATAGAGTTTGCAGCTACAGTCCCAATTCGATATTAATCTCGGCCAGTTCGATATCAAGCAGTATGATATCAAATTACCACTTCAGGTTATACATCTTAAATACAACCTCAAGGGAAAATAGCCTTTCGTCATTATTGCTGCAACAATATATATATATATATATTAGAGATGGGTAACTCACTCCGGAGTTATCACTCCGATACAACTCCTCCCTCGGAGTGAATCCGAGTGGAGTTGTCTCACCGGATTTGTCATATCCGACTTCCCTAATGTGGTATTAAATGTGTTAACTCGTGCAGACGTTTACTGTTTTTGTCATTTTTGGAAAGGAAGGGTCACTTTTTTGTCTCACAGACAGTTTTATGACCTTTTAGGTATACGTTTTTTTCCAGAAAATACAAAAATTTTACTTCAAAGATACAGAACAATGAAATTTTGTTCAAGTGTGAATAGTTTCAATGTATAATTTATTGAATAGTAAGGGGTCATATTTCTAACTACAATAATCTTTGGCCGTGAATGAATACACGAAACAAAATACATTTAATCTGGTTTTTCCATAGCCTGAAATAACAATACTTTAGAGTGCAAAATATATCAGTGACGTCAATAGTATTTAAGCAGCACAAAATATATAGTATTAAATTTTTACTTTTACTCAATTATATAATTGTCTAAGAGTAATAATATGCTAATCGAACTACCCGATATAATATTAATTCTCGAATGGAAATAGCAGAAGAAAAAATTAGAAAGCAGAAGTATTATTATTTGGTGAAAATATTTTATGATAAATAATTTGCTTTTATTACAAAGTTTACTACATTATTTTTATATAAAATTAATCCAAAAAATCAATTATTTTCTCATCAAAAGAAAATAATTAAATTGAATTTTATTCTCAAGTTTTGCGCTTTTACTTTGGTCAACAGTGTTAATCCTATGAGTCATTGAGTCGATCGTCTGGTCGACCGAAAAGTTTTACAACTCGTCATTTATTTGTGAATTATTTAGAAAAATTATTTTGATGATATTTTTTTAATTTTATTTTATTCATAAATTTTTATTTCAAAAAATTAAATTGGATTTGACAAATCCTTAGATGTATACGTAAACAACGCACTATAGAACGCATTTTTGTCGAGTATTTTGGTTTCAAAGTTGTCGGAGTCGTGGAGTTGTTAAGCGGATATAACTCCTCCCTGATGCGGAGTCAGTTCCGAGTCGATCCGGCTTCGGATATGATAAGCCCATCTCTAATATATATATATATATATATATATATATATATATATATATATATATATATATATATATATATATATATATATATAATAAAGTGGTTCTGAATTAAATTTAATCTGATTTAAATTTATTTTTATATTAGCAAACTGAATAAATATAATAACTGAATAAATATAATCCTGAAAATAATTCCATTTCAATATGAGCAAAAATATAAAAAAAACAATATATATATTTCATATTATTTTATTGCTATAGTTTTGTATTTATAAAATATATTACACAAGATAGTTTTTTTATGATTAGGGATATCTACACTGTACAGCGTTAAATTATGTTTTTATGAATATTTCTACAATTTTATAGTATCTTATACTTAAAATATTCATTCATTCGCTTGTTAATAAATTAATTTAAATAATAGCATCGCTATCTGCGAGGTATTTATAATAATAAATTAAAAGCAATCTAATTGTCAGCATTATTTGTGACGTTTTGTGATATTTTAAATTATTAATGTGCGCTCCTATTTCAAATATTGTTCTGTTTCACATTCAGATAATAAGTTTTGGTCATTATATATATTACAAATAGGATGGTGATGAAATATAGACCGGCGACGAAATTTATATATGTATGTGTACCATTTATGAGATTCATTGGCACCAATGATATATTTCAAAATACGATATGAATGTCTCATAAATTCAGCCAAAAGCAAATCAATTGTCGCCCGTCTACACTTCTTCAAAAACTGAATGGTTACAACAATTATTTTTAATGCCATATTATAAATTGCAAATCCATTCACTTCAACTCCAAAATAAATACTTAATGTCCATTTTTTTAAAACTTTCATATACATTTTTTTCAATTTTTAGCTATTTTATATACAATCATAACACTACTACAAACTGCTCCAACAAAAAAGAACAAGTTAACAAAATCGTATTATTCTATTTTATTTACAATTAAGACATTTTTGTGCAAAATATAACTCAAAGACATATTCTGTTTCGGTTTTAATAATTCGGAGATATTTATATTTTTATATAAAAAATTAAATCAAAGGTTATTCAGTTTGATTCACAAAATGCAATATGTGTACAAAATATTAAATAAAAATCTAGGCAGTAATAAATATAGAATTCGTACAATAAGACGTTGTTGATGCCAATAAATTTTATAAAATATTTATTAAAAATTTATCATGTCAAAATTTGCGTCATATAAAACGTCTAATCATACGAATTCAAAATAATGCTTCAATTACAATATTTACTTCTATATATTTATATGGAGAAACACCGATTATAAGTTACATCTATCATATTTATGTCTATTATTTCAATATGACTAACGATTAGTGACTAAATTTTCACACAGATTTGTGAAAAATATTCTCATTTCGGTTTCATTTTATGTAAAACACATGTAGCATTTATTTGTGAATATCTATTTAATATTATACAATGTTTAACGGACGCTAGTACTATTTTGGAATGCAAATAGTGACCTATAATTAAATAGCGGTTATTTTAAATCTCATTAAAAGCCATTAAATGAAAAAACAGATTTTCTATTTCTTGGCTAAAATAGTTGATAATTAACTACAACATAACCATATTTTGTCAATCACGTGTTAAAAAGCAAAAAGCAGTATACTTCTTTAATATATTTATAATAACTTAAAAATTGCTCTTTCGAGAGCTTTTATTCATAAAAAATAACATTTTATACAACTTACGTTTAAGGATTACATATACTTTCTTTTGTTTTGACTAGGTCAATTTTTAAACATAAAATACATATATTCGATATGTCGATAAAGGATAGTTCAATGGGTAATCAGAATAAAATAAAATCAACTCTGTATAAAATAAATTCAAGTTATTTAATTTTTTATGTCAAAGAATAAAACTATATAAAACCCCATTGAACATCTTTAATCTTGAAGACTTAGCCACACAACTGTTCTAAATAAACCAAAATCATTTTGTCATAAAAAATTATAACAAAAATTTTGATAGTGTGACAGTCCCACAAATACAAACATCAAAATCCTCATGCACACATACAAACTTGCGTTTTCAAAAATTCTATCTATACATTCAATATTATTCAAAAATTATCTACATCTATCATTACCGCACTCAATCAATCAATTATTATTTACAATATATTTTTAGCAGTTTTTTCTGTTTTATATTTACTGTAATCACAGCACCAAGAACACAGTTAACACAATTGCTGCGACATACTGCCACCTCGTTCGGACTTTGTCCGAAGAACTGAGACCCAAAGTTTCCCCTTGTTGGCCAGCACTGCTCCTTGAGACTTTACTCCTGGCTGCTCCTTCTATGTGGTTATCGTCCAGGAGGACGGCAGCTCCTGGTATGCTGGAGGTGACTCTCCCGCAGGAATCAGGAGCGATGTAAGGCCGAGTGATGTTGGGGTAGTGGGACTCTAAATTCTCAGTACCCTGGAAGAGATAGATAAATGATTTTGTTAGATAAAATTGGAAAAATCTGGACTTATAGCTTAACAGTACTCTAAACTTCATTTTGAAAACAAATGTTCAAAAGACGTTTTGCGGAAGGTTGTTTCATTCAACTACTTAAACTAAGTATTAACAAGCGCAATGATACTTTAGCCATTTACAATACAAATTGGTGATTTATGTTAATATTACATATATTTATGTCTTTGAAAGGTTGCCAAGTGCTGAAAATATATGTCAAAAAAATCATAATTAGTGACACTTATGTTAGAATCTTGCTAAAAAAATATCTAAGATAATATTACTAAAACGTATGGTTTTATAAAACATTTCTCTTGTTACCGAAACTTCAATAGTTTAATAAAAGTAAAAGAAAGTTTTATTATAAACATAAAATATTATATAATTCTTCTATATGACAAACCAAGAAGCAAAAATAATAAATAATATAACAGTAATACCAAACGGTTCATCAACTCTGACATTTCCAAAAGATAAACACAGTGTGCAATTAAGGAATTAATTGAACATATTTTAAAGCTAATGAAAATGCAACAAACGTATAAAATTTATTTTATTGCTTGCTTTTATTGCAATTACCTCCGCTTTTTGTTATTCGTTCAAAACATGCAATTAAACATTTTTATAAACGGTGCAAACTCAAATATAAAATAATGAGCATCAGTTTAAAAGATATCAAATTAGTTTTGAATGCTTGGCAGGTGATTAAGATCAACTTTGGGATCATTGTTATTTCTTTGGTTAACGATACACGAAAACTTTAATTAATTATGAAGAAACAACTAAATGAAATGATCATATATTCAATAATAAATGAGACGCATCAAAAACCAAAATTAAGAATTTAATCAGATCTTCTTAAATTAGTTTTTGTTAATCATAATTAATATAATAAATAAAATAAAAGAACTTCAGCTTTAAATAATTCATTGAAATAAAAGTTTATTGAAGGAAAATGGAAAAAACTGCTCCTGATTAACTGCAGCGATTATTAAATACATGACCATGAAGATCTCCATTATCAAATACTGTGTCTATATATTTCCACATCCAATATAAGGTCATGAAGATAAACTACAAAACTGATCTTTTTAATATATAATTATTGTTACTAACCGGTAATAAAGATGGCTTTGATGTCCAACAGAGAGGTTTAAAGGATCCTCTTCTGGTCGCTTCTTGGAAACTGTCAAGTTGATTTTCCCAATCGTAAGACACCAGCCGAGATTCCAAAGTCATTCCAGCCAATTCAGGAGGACGAGCAATTCTTATTGGATTGGATCCACTGTAAAAGAGAAAAAAAATAAATTATTAAAATATAAAGTTTTGCATTTTTATATAGCATAGTAATTGTATTAGATTAGAACATTAGAACAACAATTGGACCATTTACCACTATACCAAATACGTCTATTAGGTTTCTTTGAGTATCACAGCATCAGCTTCATCAATTTTCTACATCCAACAACAATTTGCATATCGATGTCCCAAAAATAGCTTTTCGCAAAATATTTCCATATCATATATCGTTAATTAAAGTTTCATATATCCAATTCGGCGTTCGTTATTGAAATTCGCAATGTATGGATTAATTGCTATTTGCTCAGTAATCATGACATAAACCGATCAATGTGCTTGTATGAGAGTTTGAAGGCTATAACATGGATAGGTATTTCACCCTCTGGCAAATTCTAAATCTAATTTAGATTAGTGTTATAATGTGACGTGTTTACGCAAACATTATTCGGAACGTGGTGCGTGCGAAAATTGTGATTTCGGATCTGATATGGATGGCTAAATACCACGACATTTGACAACAACGGAGCTATTTTCGTCGAGGAAATGTTAATTCATAAATTTAAATAATTCATTAATAATATTAAGTGACTTATGTTAGAACGAAACCTTTAGTTGTTGAGGTACCGTCTAAGTTACTCAATAAGTTTTGTTACGTCTTTACTCATCACATCTCATAAATTTACTTGAGATGAAATATATAAGCTAAATTACTTTTATTTTATGAGTTAAATATTTAATGTTAATAACTTATTTTTATAAATTATCATTTCAGTTCATATCGAACCCTTTTATTATGCACAGAATAAAGTAAGCAAACAATATGATTTTGTTATTCATACATACTATTGTTTTTGTTGGATACAAAAAGTTTATTTTCGTAAGTCGAAGCAATTATTCTTTTGTAATCGATACTTTCAACTTTAGTAACAATATTTTCATGATTTAAAAAATATCTGAGAATTATTTACGAAATTCATGTAAGTATAAAGTAGTTGCAATTGCAAATTTCTATCAAATAAATATAAAATTTTAAATCGATGAAGTTTGCCGTAACTTAGTTCAACATAGTATACACAAAATTGATTTGCACCTGATGTCTTTCAAATAGAACAATCAAAATCAAATTATGATCACTGATAATTTAAAAATCGTAATCATATCATCAGTTTCTACGTTGCTACAATTCTTTATCTTGAATCGAATACGTCTCTAAGACGCTTTTCGGAATCATGCATCATTAAAATACACAAAAATAGTATGAACAAGTGGAATGATAATACCACTTTGCTTTGTGAAAATTACCTTTGTGTAAAATATTAAGAAATATTTAAAAAATCATTAGGTTAAAAAACATGGATTATTTGATAACAAAGTTGAGTAAAACATAAAGTAATTTCAGAATATTTAATTTGAATGACAAGAATCGTACTTTGTGAATAATTTGATTAGTGCATAACTAGTTTGGTAATACTTTTTGAAAATACTTTATTAAATGTTTAGGTGAGTATATTTAATATCACCCTTTTTAATTGTATTTACTTTTGAAAGCTGTACTTTTTACTCTTAAGTTATTCTAATTATTTTTCATTAATAGCAATCACCTGAGATTAATATAAAATAATATTTTTTAAACTTCTACAATTTCTACTCTACTGTATTGCACCAAAAAAATTGGCACACATACCTCAACATCAAGAATAAGAAAAAAACACACACAAAGACCAATGTTTTAATTAGACTTGCGAACTCTTGAAAAATGAAGAGCGTATAGCAATAATTAGAAAAAGTTATAACTTTAAAAAGAGAATTATAGCATTCTAGATCCTTCCCCCATAAATGTCTAAGGGCGGTATCATGAAGTCCGAAGGTAAAAGATAGCCGGAGGTTTCAGTCGGTATGATTCTTTATACAATAACACCTTTTCACTAAAAAAATATTTTATCAAAAAAAGTGATTTTATAAATATCTTTTCAGACGAAGAAACAAATTTTGTAATTCAAAACGACATAATTTAAAGAAATTTTGTTATTTTATAAATATATATATATATATATATATATATATATATATATATATATACAAGTACTTCATGAGATTGTATCCTTACTATACACTCCACCTACGAAAATTATTATCATTCACAGAATGAGAATGAAATTCTCTCGCCCTAAGTCGGTAGAATGGAAACAGGAAAATTAACTCGGCCGACACTTCCGTCAGAAAAGTCGCCCCGGTCAAACTCTTGGGGTCAAAGTGTGCCGTTCCGCCCCGAAGAATGAAAATGTACGGAAGAGCGAACTAGATAATTGTATGGTGTTACCCGATGCAACCATGTATGACAACGTACGTGTGCTCATGCGAGCATCGCTTGTTATTGATATCATTTAAAAAAAAACAACGACATGACTGATTGTAAATTGTTTTTTTTTTTCAATTTATTTCTAATAATTAATAAAGAGAAAGTTATAAATAAACGCAATGACCTTAGTTTGCTGTGCGATATAAGCATCTGCTTTTTAGATTGTATTTCGATGGTACTTTAACGTAATTTCTCAGAAGCTCAGAAAAGAAAAATTAGATTTTTTTTTGAAAATTTTGATTTTTTCTTAACATTCTTGAATTTTTTAAATCATTTAAAGAATTTGAATATTAAATTAAAAATGGATAATGTTAATATTTTTAAGAACTTTTGTTAAAACTTGGAAGTATTTTGAAAACTGTTGTTTTAAACAACAAAATTTTAAAACTTTCCTAAAACTTCCCGCACCGTAATTTTTCAGAAGCTCAGAAAAAAAAAATTAGATTTTTTTGATATTTTTTTTTAACATTCTTAAAAATTTTGAAAACATTTAAAGAATTTGAATATTAAATTAAAATTGGATTATACTAATATTTTTTAAAAACTTAGGCCTTTCGTTGGGAATATTATGAAAACTGTTGTTTCATTTCGAAAATTTTGAAATTTCTTGAAAGTTATTGATACCCGTTCATGCCGGTTGATCCAAACTGTACAAAATATCTAATTTTCGACCTCCAAATGGCATTTTTTAGGGTAAGACATAGAAATCGAAAAAAATCTAAAATGAAAATTTTTCCGTTTCAAAATTTTCTGAACATTTTGGCATACCTTAGAAAAAATTGAAGCATGTGTGTGTATGTATGTATGCATATATATGTTTTAAGGCAAATTTTTTGAACTTCCAGTACAGTAATTTCTCAGAAGCTCACAAAAGAAAAATTAGATTTTCTTGAGAATTTTTAATTTTTCTGAACATTTTTAAAAGGTAAGTTATAGAAATCGCAAATAAATCGAATTTCTTAACATTTTGGCATACCTTAGAAAAAATGAACGTATGCGTGTATATGTATGTATGTGCGGATACAACTTTTCACCTATGTTTTCAAGAGCATTGATCAACCGATTTGAATTATTCAAAAAACATTCGATTCCTGTTGATAAGGAGACGTGGTGATTTTCATAAAATTTTAAAGGATTTTCAATAAATTTAATTTTCAGTACGAGAAGTACCAGCAATTTGCCTTAAGGCACGATGCCATGCCTCCTAGTTTCGATTGTATTTCAAAACTTAAAGCAAAAAATATGTGCCGAAAACACCACAATTAGTTTCACACGTGTTAGAATTGCGTTAATTGAGTCATTCCACCACAATTTGATATAATGACTGGAAACACTCAATTTTCGTTTGGCCCTTTAATAATTTATCATAGACCCAGCGGTAGTTATTTAATTCTTCCATAAAACTACCTGTAATATTCACACAAAATGTACAATGTCTAAAAACTTTGACAGGTATATTATTTGCCGTGACCACCCGCCTGGAAAGGACCACCCTTGCACAAAAATAATAATGGATACAGATAACATCATGTAGTTTTGTTAGAAACAAGTGGTAGAAATTTACGAAACGGATACTTTTGCAGAAAGAAAATCGATAAATAATTATGATGTAATGTGTATTCGACACCAAAATAAAGGAAACTATTATTAGTGTTTGTAGATAATTTATATTATCTAAAGCATTAGCAAAAAAGTTTGTCTATCTGATGTGGTGTGACAAGATATTACCAATATAACACATGTAAAATATAAATACTAATAAAGAATTACTAAATACTGACAAACACAATAAACAATTTAAGTGAATATAAATTTGGACAGCCACATTTCTCATAATAATTAAAATAATGTGCAAATGTGAAATAAACATATCCTATAATATAATATTCATAATTTCTTGGATACGAATTTTGCTACAAGCATATTATGCGTAATTTTATTAGGTCTATTCACAGATTTCATTCTTAAAAATTTATTTTATTGAATGTGCTTTAAAATGATAGTATAATGTATATAACAATAATTTTAAATAGATTGAAAACCACTAACACAGGAACTACCAAATTATATGATGTGTATCATCATTCGCTGCTTTTTGCTATCTAAATCATGATTTTTCCCTCTTTATTTTTTTATTATAATCCCTGCATTTAAAATAAAATAAAATATTATATTCGCACTAAAAATTATACCCGATACGTGCTAGGTATTTGCTTTGCTTGAATACGAGGCATTTATGATTTTACGTTAGAGCTTTTAGATTGCCATAAAGTGGATTTTTATCGCGCGAAAATCACTTTATAGCAGGTTTTGATATTTAATTTCTATTTCTATTTATATCTTAATGTACTTCCTAAAATATCCAACTTTTTTATTACCAATGCTATTTTTTCAAGGTAAAGGTAACAGTAAAACTAATCAATAATCGTTCGAGAAATTATACCTATACAGTTTTTAGATGCATTTTTAATAATCACATAAAATAAATTTGAATATTTTCAATACATGCAGCAACTAAAATCATTCTAAATATTGTAAAAAGTCATGTGGTCGCTGTGCAGTCAGGCGCTTTTCTCAGGTTGTCAAATAAAAATCTCAACCTAAAAACAGCACAAAACTCAAAAAACAATCTTAGAAAACAGGGTCTTTCTGACTCAGCTTCATAACATACGAGTGACGTTGCGTTATAAAACGCCTGAATGCACAGCAAATACATGACATTTTTACAGTATTCGGTGCGATTCAGAAGCATAATGTATGCAAGTTTAAGCAAAACATGGCCTTGCCATAACATTGGTCTGTGTGCGGCAGAATCGAACCATGTGTTTTTACTTTAATTATGAATAATTTTATTTTCTACTTACGAATGAAGTTCTTGGATCCCCAAAGAGTGCAAGACTGTTGGCAAACTCGGCAACGAATGACAAGACGTCAATTCTTTTTGTCTAGGATAATACAAGGCAAAAACTAGACAAGTTTCTTCTCTAGTTGTAAGACCTCCTAGTGTGATTGCAGCACGTTCTGAACTGTCGTAGGTGCATTCTGCGATCAAATGATCACCTGGAAGAACCCTTACAGGTGAACCAAGTCGCCTGTATTCTTGGTAGTCGAAGTCGAGGTTGCCATCTGCCGAAATCGGAGGCTGTTCAGTGCCACGACGGATCTGGAATAAGGATAAAAAATATATTGTTAAATGGGTACTATCAACGTCAAAGAACATAGTTATTTTCTATATTACCGTATCATATTATAATATTTTTTCAAAATCCTGTGGTAAAAAAATTTCTAATAATTCTCGAAAATCTATATTATATGTTAAATGTATCTTGCAATCAATAGCAATCCTAATCAGAGCTTTAATAGCATTTATTATTATATTAGATGGATATTCATTCATGTATTTTTGTTTATTTGTATAGTAATATCATCAAAGACTATATATAAATCTAAAACATTTTTCCTAAAGAATTTTTCCGTCCATAAGCCTTTATTAAAATTCAACAATGTCGTTATTTATTACGCAACAAAAAACGGCGTTATTAACTGAGTTAACAAGCTCAATGTACTTGAAAAGGTCGTATTGGGTCGAAGAAATATATACTCGTATATATATATATATATATATATATATATATATATACATATTTATATATATATACATATACTAGCTAACCCGTCAAACCCGTTGTTTTGCAACAATATGCATAAATATTTCTAGTCTAGATCGCACAGCAAATAGATAGCATTTCATAGTTTTTAGTACCAAGAAAGAAAGGTCGCGTTGCCATAACAACGCTATGTTGTCATCTATGTTACCGGAGAATTGGCTCCAATATTTTGAAATTAATTTAAAATATTTAAATTATAAATATTAGTGTCAGAATTATTAATTGTTCTGGTTGCTACTTGGAAAGTCCATTAAAAAATAAAAAAAAAATATTAGTGTCGAACCATTGGGTGAATATTTTATTCAAATGAATGATTGCAGAACTAGAAAATTTTAAACTTGTCAATCTCTGTTTATGCAGAGACATAGCAAAAACAATGTCCACAGCTTCACTCATAAACAATATTCCATAAATCATCTTTACCACCTATTGTCTACCAAAAGAAACGTTTGCTTGTTATCTGAAAACGGTACTTCCTACTGGACCACGGTTGTATTTCTCCGGTGTAAGACTAATTTTCCGAGTTCCTGGAAAACCCTGTTAGAGGTAGCTTCGCGTTGTGCACAGTGGCACGAAATCGAATTCCTTGCCGCAGGCGGAAGATTGAATTGGCGGGCGGCCGCAATCAACGAAATGGCATCGGCTTCCAGGGCACAAGACACAACTCTTGTTTTGCTGGATAGGTACCAGGTACGTTTGCCTGATATATATTCTTGCTGACTTTCAAGGAAAATTCTCTAAAGCCAGAGTATTTTCGTGTAAGCTCATTTGTGTGATAGCGGAAATGCAGTTTTTAGTTGACCTATTTGTCAAATCGCTTTTAAGCAACAGTTAACGTATCTAAGGAAAACATAAAAATATTATGGTAATACTATGTAACGAATCTATTTTCATATAAGTTTGTAGTAACGAACTGTCTAAAAAAGCTATATATATGCTGTTCGATCAGGCCTTTCACACATAAAACCTAACTTCACGTACGTGTTATCAAATAGACGTCACAAAGTTGCACTTATTATAAAATTGTTATTTGCAGTTTAGGTTTTATGTGTAAAACGTCCGATTGCACAGCAAGTATATAGCTTCTTGACAGTTTGTTACTACCAACTCATACCGTATGAATTAAAAACAAGATAGGTCCTAACACGCTACTTTGTGGTACTCCCGATATTATTGGAGAAAATAGTTCCGGGTCTATCTATCATAAAATTTCTTTTTTTTTCGGAAATTAGACACATTATCGACAGTAAGCCACAACTTATTCAACTATTTGTTTGTGATACTACTAGGTTTTTAAGACAATTTGTTACCACGAACTCATACGAATTTGTTTGCGGGTCTATCTTTCATAGCACTATCGTAACATTTCTATTTTATCCAAGAATATATCCCACAACCGATAGTTAGACATAGCTTATTCAACTATTTGTATATGATAGCACTAGGTTTTACCAATAAAATTATCTATTCTACTTTTTTATAACATAAAAAACTACACTTATGTACGCCTTAACTATTTCTAGTGAGGTAAAATGGTGAGACTGATCATATATATTTTTTATTGAAATTATTGTATTTAATATATAATTAAACGATTTATTAATATATTTTTCTTCCAAATATATCCATAAAATCCATAAAATAAACACAATAAAAATTTATCTACCTTATCCCACTAACAATTTTATTATTCTGCGATCTACTAATGTATATTATAAAAAAAATTATTATTTCAAAAGGATATAATTAACTAATCATCAAATCATTTTCTTGTTTTCTTTCTATGCATGCCCGGTCTCAAATGTTTTTATATTCCTGCATATGGTTATCAATATTAATATTTCCGCCATATATCGTGTTTTTTGCATAACATTTTTTTAATATATAAGCGCACCTTGAATGTTATCGTCGCCGGTGCTCATTTATAATTATATGCCTTTATATTCCTGTCATTATAATGCTGGCTATATATAGGCTGGTGAAATAATAATAAGGGCGCTGGAAACCGGTTTCTTAAAATATTTGTAATTTTTTTTAGTTAGGATGTACTATTGCATTTTCAATCTTTTGGCGTCAATAAAGTAAAATATGAAGGTTACTTTAAAAAGGCAAAACAAAAAAGACGACGTTTGACAAATACATGGTCTGTTCAAAAAGTACCCGGAATTACTAATAATTAAATTTCGCGGGTCTGGAGTGTCTGATTGTCAAATTTTTTTTTTATTGTGTTGGTATACATGCCCCTAAAGTATGATGAAATTTTCAGCTATATTTACTGTTTACTTTGTCTGTGGTAGTCGCTAAGGTTCGACGTGTTTTTCTGAGCTCGGCGATTTTTACAATGGAAGAATTGAAAAAGTCAAAGAATTTGTATTAAATTTTGCGTAAAAAATGAAATAAAGTGTTGCAAAGTGCAAAAATTCACCAGATATGGCTCCGTGTGACTTTTTCCTATTCCCAAAGTTGAAGAGACCCATGAAAGGACGGCGGTTTTCCTCGATTGAAGAAAATCGCCGAGAGTGCTCAAGGACATATCAAAAGTGAATATCAAGGGTGCTTCGAAAATGGAAAAAAACGCTGGCATAAGTGTATTATATCTGGGGGGGACTACTTTTAAGGGGACCACATTAATGTAGACGAATAAATAAATATTTTTTTTGAAAAAACGAAAATTACGAAAACTTTTTGAACAGACCTCGTATATTAGTTAATATTCATCAGATAATATTAAACATAGTAATTCGGATAACAAGAAAATTATAAAACACAACAATAATTAAGTGTGTTCCAATTTCAGTTATTGGGTCGATCAGGATATAGTTTGGCATGGCGTGTTTGCCCTATCAAACTATTTCTTTGATATTGTCTTTATCCCTACATTTGAGGTAAAATTCTCAGTGAGTTTTTTTATATAATTGTTTTATATCGGTATTTTGTCGGATAGTAGTGTCTTGGCTGTCAATACGCTAGTTGGTGCTAGTCGTAGTGCCTTGTTCTGTATTGTCTGTAATTTTCATAAGTTGGCCTATGTCGTCGCGTACGTATTGCGCTTAGTATATTATTGAAAACTTAAATTATTTTTTATAATTAAATCACTTCTCGTAGACTAATCTTTTAAGGTGTCGTTTATGACAATCAACTCTATCACAATGCAAAATTTTATCAAAATCCTAGAAGAGTAAATCTAAAATTTCCTTGTTAGCATTAACATTTTACTATTTGTGCTTGAGTGACTTGCAAATATCAATTGCACAACTGTACAAAAACTTGAATTATAATTTTGCCTGTTTAATTATTGACAATATTATTATTAAATTGTTAATAAAATGATAATATTAATTTTATTCTACTAATTACAACCCAGCTCACATGCTATTTATATGTTAATGGCAACACGCGTACTACGAGCGGATATAGATTTGCATCGTAATGGACAAGCAAATAGCTCATATGAAGGGAAGTTGTTATGTGCATTTAATAGATTTTTATGTGCTATTGAAACATAATTATTATTTACAAAGTATATTTTCATTATCCATTAGCAATAAAACTTGCTTTTATGCTAATTAGACTAGAACTATAAAACGGATCTACGTACGAATCCATTAAATTTAGTGTATATTGTTGTTGGTTGTTTATACAATTAATTTGCCACAATCATGAACTATTGAAATTATTTCATACGATTTAATTTGATGCAGCAATTCAGATGAAAGGCAATAAATATATTTTAGATGTATTCTCAAATATCACTATTGCTTGATATCATGCTGTCTGATGCTGCGGCAATCAAACCTGGAATCTGGAGTTGCAAGGCCAAAGCTCTCACTACTGAGTCACCATAATACCAATGAATAAATATTTTTTCCTCATAAAACTTTCGGCACATCATTCTGTTAGTTTTCCTGTGACCCCTTACAACGTCATCGCCCCAAGTGGAGCAATTCCTGGCAAAACGTACCAGTTCTCACATATTCTATAACCGGCGCAATAATTGATTGAAACCTATAATTCGATTTTTCTGCTTGTACAAATGCTCGTACGCCTATATGTACGTATGTGGAGTCGAATGTTTCTTCCTTTTATATCTGGCACATCTATATTTAAGTAAGTGCCTGGAACGAGCGCTTCAATAGGCAGGCACTAGACGTGTGCGCATTGCTGAATTATAGATGCATTTTCTGTATCGAGGAAAAGTCGATCAATTCGATGTTCTCGGAATTATGGGAAATAGAATTCCGACGTAATATAACTAGCTTGGGGAGGAATATGTCACTAATTTCGTCTATCAGGAACACAAATTTATATAATATGTATTAAAATAGGTTTAAAATTTCAAAACAGTATGAGATGCTGGGTACGGTTGTGCCACTTATTTTTGATTAGCAATATTTTTTTAATATATCAGTTATCTAGGAGAAAAGTATGTAACAATATGTAACATGACATAATTTTTTAGACAATAATCATTGTGAAATCTTTCAGTTTCTTGTATTGATATTTTCTTACCCTTTTTCCTTCGTATTTTGTCTTACAAATTGTATCTTGTTAGTTAAGTATTACAGATTTTGTCTTCTTAGTTATGATAGATTTTTAACTTCCCGTAGGGTAAGTTATTTGGTAATAAATCCAAATTACCTATTGAAAGCAAGCTACTAATATATGGAAAAATAATGAAGCCGATATGGACCTACGGTGTGGAATTATGGGGATGTGCAAGAAAAAGTGCTCACATTGATTCATTCAACGAGCTCAATCAAAATTTCTTAGGCAGGTCGTAAACGCTCCATGGTATGTCAGTAACAAATTATTCATGACGACTTGAACATACCATTTGTGAAAGATTTAATTAGCAGTACCAGTCACCGCCATTTTGAGAAGATGGAATCCCATCCCAATGAAATAGTGAAACATCTTCTTGAAGAACCCCGATCTGGGAGGCTCAAAAGAAAAGTTCCAATTGATTTGAAAATAGATCAATTGCGATAAAGACCAGACTTAGCCCTCGATATATTTCCATTCGATATATACTTCAGCTAGATTATTTGTGCACTCAATTTAGTGGCATCTATTGTAATTTTTACAAATTCAGCCAATTTATTTATGTGTATGTATGACTGTGTGTGAGTATGTATACTGTGTGAGTGAGTACAAACATAAGCACAATAGCTCATAGAATTTTGTAAATTCTGATTGCTATTAAATAAAGTATATAAAAAAAAATTCTAGCTAAAGATCTAAAGCTCACTTATATACTTCAAATTAACGTATATACATATATAAACGTCGTCGTCCAATTCATAAGCTCTTTTATTTTGTCCATAGAATAAATATAATGAAAGGTAGCGAATTTATAATAATCTATTTGAAAACATTTAATATTCCTCGAATATTTCATTGCGGTAGAGAACGTTCCAGCAATTTGCCTTAAGGCACCATAGCATACACCACTAATTCCTTTATATCACAACCGTACCCCCAAAAATTGTCATAACTGTACACAAAGCACATTTTTGAAAACAGATCATCATTATAAGATCATGGTAATGCAAGAAACTGACTTACTGCAATAATGGAAACTTGTTCGAACAAACATACTTCATACTTTTCCTTTAGACCCCATCTCAAAATCAGTAGGTTTAGCTGTTATGACGACTTTTGAAGATTGTATTTTTGCTAAATGTTCAACTCAATATTTCTCATCTCATTTTTCAAATACAGCCCTTACAGAATATAGCTAAAATATTCCGCTCTTATAGAAAATGCGCCAAGTCATGGCAAAGCCGATGGTAACATACGAAGAATATGTACGTGAGTTATGTGTTTATGCGCACGTAAGTACTAACGTTAACGTGCCTATACACAAAGAGAAGAAATACAGAATACTGAAATACAGTGCACGGAAATGGAAATAATGAAATTTTATTCGACTCTTTGGATGTTTTTATGCTCGAAGTGACGAGAAAATGGGAGGGCATGTGAATCTAATAAAGGTTAACAGCACCTACATGTCGCCAGAAGTTATTTTTAGCCATTTTGAAAGCGCTCAATGGACCGTGATTCATTCAGGATTCAGTGAAATATAATAATTTTCATAAAGTTCTAGTATTGTTAATTGAATCAAACATATTGTCAATAGAAGAGTCCCACTTTTTTTATTGAACCGAATGCAAAACCTTTACAAGATCTGCTAATTTGTGTGAAAGACTGGCAAAAACATTCAAATGGAGTTGACATAAGGAGTTGACATATTTTTCTGATTGTAGGTTCTAATCAAGTGGTCAACATTCAAATTAAACTTTCATAAAAAAGTAGATAATATAAATTACATAATTATTTAATGCTATTTGAGGTCAGGGGATACAATTGACAAATTAGATGCAAGTGTGCCTTTGTAGGAAAAACTTTCTGGAATGTGCAAATAATTAAATTAAATAAATAATGGAATTTAGCAACTTTTAAAACTGCAAAAACATAATTTTGGAATCTAAATTAAGCCCATATTTCCCACTTTCATGAATTTCTATAATTAAGCCACATTTCGTAGGCCTATAATTTTATATTCGTCAACATACTGAACTTCATGATCAAACAAAGTTTCATTTGTTGATCTTGGTTTGGAGAGAGGATAAAATCAATATAGGAATGATTTCTCAATATTTGGAACCAATCATATTTTTCTAGAATTTCATGTACTTATATAAATTCTTATGATCAGTAAATAAATTTAATTATTGGTGACCCGACGTGACATGCGACAAATAAATTTTATATTATTTATTTTTCTCTTAATCATTTTACTTCGGAAAAATGCCTCATTCTTGTCTTTTTATTCTGTACTCCATATCTAATTATTGTATTTGTATCATATTTACTTGTTAACGGGTAATCATAACTGGTAGCTTGAATCAATAAATAAACGGATAAATTTACTCGAGTTATTTAATTGTCATTAAAAATATTGATAAAGATTTTGTTAGAATTACTAACGGAAATTTAGCTATAACTGTTATTTTTTGTATAATTGCACTCGATTTGTGGATTTATCTGATTTCTCCTCACTACTAATTTTCAACACGAGCACCATACAAAGTAATATGACTTATGATAATGTGAATCATTAGTTACTACCAAGAAACGAGCAAAAACTCTAATTTTTTTATTTAACCACCGTTGATTTTGGGATAGGTAGGGGGAAGTTCCGTAACGCCGGACGGAATAGTGGCACCTAGGACCGGACACTCTATTTAACACGTATTATTTAAGCGAGAATAATTTTTTGCTGAGAGCATCAGTGTGGCCCAGCCAAAAGAGTGGATGAATAGTGACTTTTTTGCAATATCTAAGAATATTCGTCAAAGACACATATGCAGACATTCCAAAGTGTGCAGATGGCTACATATGTAATCAATGCAGGTTATTTTGAGATGTCCGGTACTAGGTGCCACTGTTTAAAAATCATATTTTTTTATAGCAAAGTTTGATTGATAGTATTAATTATTTTTTAGCTAAGATTGCGGTTTTGTTAATTTAGTTTGATTTCTAACTTTGTTATCTAACATAAATCATAATTTACTAAACATTTTGTAAAATATTTTTTGATTTATTTATAAAAAACCTTAGATGTCGGCCACATATTCACTACTAATTTTTAACACTATATAAACCAATTTGTAAATAGTTCGGGAATTCACCATTAACGGTGTTAATACATATATATGAAAATAAAAATAGTAAAAAATATTTTTTATCTCACCTGACGTAGTCGAACCCTCCTTCCAATCATATGTGTCCTCATAATAACAGCAAAAACGCTGATACCATTCTGAGGCAGCGCTCTCTTGGTACAATCGGAAACGCAATGTGCCTCGGAAATGACTGCCTTTTGCGCTGGAGGTATTATGTGCCTCCAATTAGGCTCCATTCCTACAGAAAGAACTCCGGCATCGTGTTTCCTCAAAATAGGAGTATAGTAGAGCCGAAGTCCGGAGCTGTCGACCATGGTGGCACCCGTACCAGAAATTGATGACATTTGCTCCATGGAAGAATAGAATGGGTTATTGTAGTGGGTTTCCATGAGATAGAAGCGATTAGAGGACGGATCGATGGGGTAGCCGGCTTCTTGAGGAAGGTAAAACCCTGGAAGAAAAATAAAACTAATTATTATAAAATAAAAATATTTACTTGAGGGAACACTACTATTTTGATAGTATTTTTTTTGTTATTTTAACAGCTATCAGAACCTTACGTCCTATGAGCTGTTGGGCATTTTTCTAGATGGTAACCCAATGTTAATCCATCCATATTTGATGATTTTTTGCTATTAGATTTAATCTAATAGGGCTGACTTTTTATTGGTGCAGCAATGCCGGGCAAGGGCTATTTTCACTTGAATATATATTGCTACCTATATTTCCAAGTGAAAATCGTTGTCACTCCTGTCTGACAACAGGCTGCTTGAAGTGGGTATCGAACCCGGGACCTCTGATTCAGGTCCCGTCGCTCTTAACCGCTTACCTACGGGCGAGCCCATTTTGATGGTCAATGATGGTGATTTATCAAATTTTTTATCATTTTCTCAAGTATTTCCAGTGAACTCACTACACTGAACTCTTATAATCCCATAAATATGATGATGACACGCTGTGTATAAATTTCAATTTTAATACCATAATTTAATTTAATAGGCTATTGCATAACATCATGTTCCTCATAAAACCTAACGTGAAATATTTTGTCATACTTTTGAATAGCTTTAACGAGCTCATACATTATGTAATCATATTGATTCTTTATATAACCATACTTTTATATTTATCGATTTTTGGGAGTTATTTATAATAATCTGACACACCTACGCATAATCGACTGTATATTTTAACATAAAAATAGTATGAGAATCAACATAAGAGCATAATGACTATGTTTACGGTGTGATACATTAAATATGCATAAATGTCGTGATTATTGTTCGACAGAAGTGGCCATTTATATTTTTTGATCAGAAAAAGTTTTGTAAGTGCTATATTTAACACTTAATGACAACATATTTCGTAGAATATCGAGGTTTTCAGGGTAATTGAGCAAAAAAATATATATTGGTAAATGATACATGGTTGAATATTTAAAGAGCATTTATGGAATAACTATTTTAATTATTCACTATAATTTAGGAAGTGAAAATAAATGATTTGCTTCCAACCCTAAGAAACATATCAACAAAAATTTAAAAATAGCTGAATTGCATTTATTTACTCTATCTCTTGTAACTTTTACTGACAAATTTATGTAAAATGACATACTCTACAATATTGTCTAATATTGTAAGACTCTACACCAACTCTGAATCCCAAAAATCGTCATTGAACGTCATGTATTTATCTCTTTTATGCATTTTATTTTTTCTATAATAGAATTAAAATTATTTTTTCCAACATCAATCTGAACTTAGTTCTATAAGTGGCTGTAATGGTCCTTTTTCTTTAAAAACTTCGCTTTTTAGAAGGTAAGCCAAGGGTTGGTCTATCTAAATTTGATTTAATCATTACAATTCATCTATTAACAATATATTTTGAATTTAATACAGCAGTATCGACGCAAAAAAGCTGTTCTTATTTTTTAAAAATATTATTTAGAATATATTTAGAAAATAATAATATATTTAGAAAATAAAAATTTGAAAACTCTTGAGTATATATTTTCCTGATTCTTTCCTCCGAACAACTTTGGCCTGAATAGATGTGATTTTTATTATTGCAATTTATCTAATATTTAAAATATACTATTAATTTGATGCATAAATGCCAAAATAAGAGTTGATTTCACTTGAAAATATAATAATAATGTATTTTGGAACAAAAATTTAAAAGCTCTTGCGAATATATTTTCTTGAATTTTGTTGCCTTGGATAATGTATCAAAGTAGGTAATACTTTCTTCTGAATAACCTCGCATTTTAGAAGGCAACCCAATGGTTGGCTTGTCTAATTTTGATTTGACATAAATGCCAGAAGACGGTTGTCTTCACTTGGAAACATAAAAAAAATATGAGTTTGGGAATAAAAATTTAAAAGCTCTTTCAGGTGTATTTTCTTGACTTTTGTTGCCATGGATAATGCATGAAAGTAGTTGATAAATTTTCCTAAACAACGTCGCATTTTAGAACACAACCCAACGGTTGGCCTGTCCAGATTTAATGTTTATTATTGAAATTTATCTAACCATGATCATAAACTTTTAATTTATTGCAGAAATGCTGGAAAATGGTTGTTTTTATATAGAAACATAATAATGAAGTGTTTGGGAATAAAAATTTAAAAGCTCTTTCAGGTGTATTTTTTTGACATTTGTTGCCGTGAATAATAAGTTGACAAAAGCAAAGTTTATATTTGAATGATCATCAATATCTCTGACAATACTCGAGAAAGTTTGTATTTTTAAAGTCATTTTTTGTTAATCCTACAGTTATACTTGTTGTCCATTACAGGACAAATTGCAATATTCTTAAAAAATAATTAAACATATTAGCAATCTAAGACAATGACACATCTCCAAAATCAAATCATCCTCCGAGCAAGATGTGTTATGTTCTCCAACATAGAGCTCCAATAGTCCAGAACCTCTGTTCCAGCTATCAACCGAAATACATTCCAAAACCGTTCATTTCTCCCAAATTATAATAACCTGTATTGGCCCATGTCAAGAGCACGCGACTAGCACAATACATGAAATATCAATTCACGCTGAATTCGTACTAACAGGAACTCTGACTTTGACACGACACGACTCACGAGACCACAATCGATTCGGGCAAGCAAAGTCAAAGTATTCGAAACCGCCCTCATCCACCTATAAACTATCCGGATCCGAAGTCCAATGGCTTAATCGTAAAGTAAAGATCATTATGCAAAAGTTATCTATGCTGATTCGATCGTAATTCGCGGTGGAAACCCGTATGTGCTGCCCGCACGGTCGTCAAGGGTCTTGTTAACAGAGAGAATTCGGTATTAAATGGCGATTATTAAGATTTGAATCGTCACTAGAGAATACACCGGTATTAATATAGGTACAAAGTGTAATTTTGGCTTGGGCTAATAAAAGATTATTCAATTACAGATTAATGACAAATATACAAAAACGTCTCTTTTAACACACCTCATTTTTAATTACTCGTTTGTTGTCTCTAATTACACTCTCTCACAATATAGAATCAAAAGTGGCTTTATAAATGGAAGATTTGCATAAACAAATCCAAATCAACTCATATCACTTTTACTCTGAGACAGGAGACGAGTCGTCCAATTTATATAAATAGCGTTCAGATTCCAAAACATAACATAGTAAAATATCTTGGTCTTCATTTAGACAGCAAACTTACTTGGAAAAGTCACATAAAAATGAAACAGCAGCAAATAATGTTCAAAATGAAAGAATTTAATTGGCTAATGCGTAAAAAGTCTAAGCTCTCCGTTGAAAATAAATTGCTGCTATATAAAACAATCATCAAACCAATCTGGACCTACGGAATTGAGCTCTGGGGCTGTGCTTACAAATCGAATATAGCTATAATGCAGAAGACACAGTCAAAAATTCTACGTACATACTTACTACATTCTAATCATCCAGTCAAAGTTATTTATAAATAAATTGTCTACTTTGAACTGTAATTACCAACCAAGTGATCAATTCTGATGTCTACATCAAACAACTAATGAAATTTAACAATGCAGTTGAAAAAAAGCAGTCTCAGTTGGCAAATCGAAACTGTGATCTACTCCATTATTGACATCACATAAATTTGGCCACCCAGTAAAAGTTATTGGAGATTAGTTGGGATGTTTTGCCACATCCACCATATATGCATGATCTTACACCACCTGATTGCTATTAGTTTCAATATATACAAAACACCATAAATATAAAAAAAAAATTGGTGTCAAATGGCGTCAAATTGTACCTGATTCAGTTTTTTGCTAATAAAAACTAGAAGTCTTTATGAGAGTAATGCTGCTGTTTAAAAAATAACTAAAGAATGAAGTTATTTAGTTCCAATAAAAAAAATATTTTAAATTCCTAACAAAAATCCGCACATACTTAGTTGCCAACCTAATATATGACATAGATTCAAAGCCAAAACCGTATAATATTATAAAGAAAATAATAAAAATGTAAATTATAATTTCGATATATAATAACAAATACTGACCCTTTCTTTCAAATTTATTTACTAAAATAAAATTATTAATCTCACTATTTACCCTAAATTTTTATTTCATCCAATTCATCAAGCAAACTAGCAAAAACCACCATAAAACAACCTAAATTGCACAACTCTTAGCATTACGAACAAACTGCGCCTCAGTTAGTACACATCTTGCAGATGGGAACAAAAAAAAACTAATATAATATATTAACCTGATACAGAATACAATAAGTAGAGTTGCTTCTGGGAAACGCTGCTTTATTTCCTATCCTCAGCTTTATTTCCCTGCGGGGAGTCTCCATGCAATAAAGTTTTACAGTAGTAACACTGGAGGAACATGTAAGGCGTATAATTACAACAGCAAGCGTTCCAGCAGTCCGAAGAGAAAATCGGTAGTGGGTCGAGTAGATGGCTGATGTAAAGAATTGATTAAAGTGACAAATTGCTCGATATTAGATTTATATGTCCTCCTTTCGAGTTAAGAACGAGCTCTATAGAAACTGATTCAAAGGATATAGTGACTGCAAAAAGTTGGAAAGAATGCTGTCCAAGAAATTGTTTTTCTCTACTCCTTACCGGATTGAATATTTATATCTATTGTGCTTGATTGTAATAATGCAGTATTTATAAATTTATTATCCCACCGCTGCCACCAGAAAATGTTGGGACTTCACCAAATGATGTAATTGGCTCAACACTAAGCAGAGTATAAAAATTCTATAGGAAAGATTAAGAATGTTTGTTCGAAGAAGTTTACATTGAGTAAGTTATTATAAACGTTCAAAAATCGTAATTGATAATTATTACATATCTTCACGTTTCAGAGGTTTCTAAACATTTTGGCATACCTCAGAAAAATGGATATGTGTGCGTATGTACGTGAACCGATGTATAATACATTAATTTTTATTTTTTATATCGTATTATATTTTTTTTCATAATTTTTCCATTCACAAATAAGGTTGAAGGCAAAATACCATCTTCTTATTATTTTACAAATACCGTAATGAGACCTTGTCAGTTGATATATGATAATGACTAAAATCAACAACTTCCACTCTACCATCTATCATAAAACTTAATCAGTATAAAATATTACTACCAAAACTACTCCGAACTTAACTTTCGACCCATTCATTGATTATACATGTCGATAGAGGCGGGGTATGTTTACTTAAAATTACAGCAAATTAATTTCGTCGTACAAAAACTGTATATAACTTATAATAATATGTTAGACAAAGTTATACATATTGACTTTCCTTGGCTATGAAACTGGAACAAAGTCCTGAACGAGTCAGATCGTAACTTATAATTAATTCTAAACAAAAC